AGCTTTTAAGGCTTCTCGGGGTCTTCGGGAGCCTCCTGGGCGCCTTCTGGGGGCTTCCTCGGGCCACCCTGCTTCCAAAAGCATGGGACTCTCTTCGGGCCAAAGCTTGAGGAGAACAATGATCGTGTTGGGAAGAAGGGGTTTGGGAGGATGGAGGGCATGCGCAATGGCATCAGGATGCAGAGAACGGTACCTTCGGCCGCCTACGGGAACAGATATCCTCATGTCTCCCCAGCCCAATCCTCCGAGCCCGATTAACCGTCCTCCTGGACCTTGGGGCCATGCCTGGCCGTCTTAATAGGGGGGCTCTCTGGGACTGCTCGGCAGCCCTTTCGGGCAGCTTTCTGGGGAGAAGTTCTCGGGCCTCCTGGGCGGCCGGCCGCCCGGAAGACCGAAGACCAGCGCACTCCCAAAATCATGCGCTGGCCATCGGTTTGGTTGGCCCAGGAGGGGGTCCAGCTGCAAGGGGGGGTGCAAGAGGTTGGGGGCAATTGTATTGCAAATGTATGGCGCCAGAGAACTGTGTTGCATTGTGTTGCAACTAACGTATTGCACGCGAAAGCCCAGCAATACATTTGCGCACCGTCATGCAATTCTATTACAACCCCAGAAGTCTATTGCACCACCCCCTTGTCGCTGGACCCCCTGTTGGGTCAACCAGAGTTGGAGATCCACGTTTGTGTCGCTCTTCGAGGGCCTCTTGGGTGTCTTCTCTGGGTGGTCTTCGGGCGTCTGGTGGGTGTCTGGCGCCTCTTTGGGGCCCTCTGGGGGCCGTTCGGCCGCTCTGCTCCGGAAAGCCTTCTGCGTGGGGCGTCCCAGGGACCCCCAGGGCCACGGACCTGGGGGGCCACGGACCTGGGGGGACACGCCCTCAGCTTGCAAAAACACAGAAAATGAAGATACATATCTTTGGAGAAAAAACAGAGAGAGGGAGAAAGAGAGAGAGAGAGAGAAAGAAAGAAAGAAAAGAGAGAGAGAGGGGGGGAGGGGGGAAGCATCTACAGAAAGATATATATATATATACATGGCGAACTTAGGATATAGACATATAACGAAGGACAGAACAATTGTGTGGAGGAGAGGAAGGAGAGAGAGAGAGAGAGTTACAGAAAGAGAGAGAGAGAGAGAACAATATGGAGAAAGACACATGTTGGCATATACACAGTGTACAGAAAGAGCGAGGGAGGAGGGAGAGGCGGGGACACAGATGCGTGAGAGGGGAGATGTTCGACGGGCCAGATGAGATATCCATTTTGACTGCAACCCCGCGCGCGTGCTTCGCGCTCATGCTCTGGCGAACTCGTACCGCATGCCCTCTTCCTTGTGCCCTCCTCTCTCCTACACCTCGTCGTGTGCCTCGGTCGTCTTCTTCCGCCTCCTATCACCGACTCCTCCGCAGCCTCCTCCTCTTCGAACTCCGTATGCGACTCCAGCTCCTCCACATTGAGTTCCTCCTCCTCCTTTTCTCGTCCTCCGTCTCCGTCTTCCACTCCGGCTCCAGCTTTCCCCACTCCTTCCGCCCTGCTCTTGACCAGAAGGAGGAGGGGGCGGGGGGAGGACGAAGGAGGAGCAGGAGAGGGGCAAGGACAAGCTAGGCGCGCTGGCACCACATCTGACATCATATCCCTCCCTCCCATTCCTTTTCATGGAGCTGATTTTCTGTATCCGAGGACGCATGTCATAGCCAGCCTGGAACTCCCAAAACAGACCCCCCATCGTGCCATGCGCAATCAGACCAGGGGAGCTGCGTACGGTAGGAGTATGAAGTACGGGTGAGCAGGTGAGTGAGCAGGAGGAAAAAGGAGGAAGAAAAGAAAGGAGGACGAGGACGAACCGCTGCAACAGATTCTGGAGTGGAAGGAGCGGGAGGAGCAGGAGGACCAGGGGAACGCGGACGAGGGGGAATGAGGGGGGCGCTAACGATGAAAAAGGGCCCCGGATCCAGACAAGTGGCCCGAGCTGTGGCGAAATCGCCGCTCTGAACGACGGGAGCACAGCGTCGATTCGAAAATAAGGCCTACGCTGTAGCGGGAGCACAACTCTGGAACACCGAAGCAACTGGAGTGTAAAAAGCACAAGAAAAGTGACCGTTGTCCAATGCTGCTTGTAGAAAAACGTACATGGGGAGAAGTGGCTATCTTCTGGACAAAGTCAAGATAGAGAGGAGAGTGGTCTCCATAATGTGTAGTTGTGGCAACTCCCCCTTCCCATCTTCCCCTACTCTTTCCCCCCTCCCCTCATGGCTGCGACCAACGAACTGCAGGGCGAGATGAGGGGCGGCCTTCTATACAGAGGTAAGGGAAGCTTCTCAAAGGGCCTCGCCCTCTAACTGCCCCAATACGCAACACACAGCCCGTAACGTGTTGGCACGGGGCTCAACGCGCACATCGACAACGCACGCCTGGCGCGACAGCTTCGCCAAAACGTGGGCCAACACGTTGGGCCAACACGCAGCATGTTAACATGGAGGTTTTGAACACAGTATCCGTCGGTCGGAAGAAGTTGATAGAAGCATGAAGCAGGAAGGCATTGCAAGCATATTGAACTTCCGCCCGCCCCCTGAAGACGAGGGCAGAGGGACATCGACTCTTGAAGTAGGATGGCACCTAAACGTGATTGCGATCCGAAAATCCCCAAATGCATGCTCTCACCGACCGGAGTGTACGCTGTGCGCTTCAGAACGGGCGTCTCAGGGCAGCAAATTAAGGCTCCGCCCTTGGGGACACACTGACCTGGGCCAACGCAAACCCGGGGCAGTCAGGCTCTTGCAGGATCCTGCAGGACCCTGCAGGATTCTGCACCCAAATCAGGGTCGGTGCACCCCTGGCCCTGCAGGATCCTGCAAGATCTGGCGCTCTGACTGACCCCCGCTTTGGCGAAACCCAAAGGTACCGATACCGCCCGGGGTGCGTTCTGACCAGCATCTCGAGGCGAGTCCAGCGGTGGCGACGAGGACTACCCAGGAGGCCCCAAAAAAGGGAAAACGGGTGGTGGGGTAGAGGTATGGGTACCTTTTCCTCCTCTGACGTTTGCATTAGGTCGGGCCTGTCCCCCTACAGGGGGATCTTGGTCGAAAAATTCCAAATTGTCGATAAAAATACGCAACAAATATTCAAAAATATTGGAAAATCGTCCCCAGACTATTTTTGGACTATGTTTGAATGTTCCTCCTGTAAAGGGACGTGTCCGACTTAACGTTTGCATTGGTCCCCGCCTCTTGAGCCCCGACGCCCCTTCAGGCCCGCGCGCTCGGCGCCCTCCAGAAGAGGCGGTGGGCTTAGGTCGGGCATGTCCTTCTACAGGCGGACTTCGGACGAAAAAGAAAAATACCCCCCAAATGCTCAGAATAATACCCCAAAATGCTAAAACAAAATCGTCCCCCGACTATTTTTTGACCATTTTGGATTTTTCCTCCTGTAGAGGGACGCGCCCGACTTCACGGTGGGCATTCGCGGCCCCCCTGTCGAGCGCTCCGCCGCCGCCCTCCCCCCGAGGCCTGGCGAGGCCCCATCGGCGGGCTCTCGGACACCTGGGGCGTCTCTGAGGCTGGACCCGGGCGCCTCTGAGGCTCCGAGAGGGGCGGTGCGCCGACGCCGACGCCGACGCCGAGGCCGACGCCGACGCCGACGCCGACGCCGACGCCGACGCCGACGCCGACGACGACGAAGACGACGACGTTCAAGGCTTCACGGTTCCTTCCTGCGGTCCCTCGACTCGCGCCCAGAGCGTCCACGATCTGCTCTCTGGGTCTCCTGGGAGATCTCCGGAGCCCCCCCGGGGGGGCCGCTGGACGTGCCTCGATGTGGCTCTGGCTCTGCTCCGGCTTGATCCCCGCAGGCCGATGGGAGAAAGCTCGCTTCGCCCCTGGGGACGGCGGAGAGGTTCGGCAGGTGCGTCGGGCGAGGCCCAGCGGGTGCCCCGGAGCGCGCTCCGAGGGCGGCCTGGTGCGTTCGCTCTGCGGCGGTTGATCCCTGGCCCCAGGGGCCCGGCCCAGCTCTCCAGGCACCCCGCGCCGTGGCCTGTTCGCGGCGTGGGCATCCGGAGGTCTTCGAGGACCGACCCCAACGACGTTTGAAACGAGGTGGCGCTTACAACGAAAAACGAAGCGAAACCCAACTTCACACAGAACGTTCAAAACGAGGGCGGTGCGAAACGAGCACGAACGACGAAACGGGGCGTTCAAAACAGCAACGGGAAACAAAACGATGCAACAGCGAGAAACGAAACGGACAACGAAACAGAGGCATAAACCAAGCTAAACAGCTTCGTGGTCGGTCCTTGGCGGTTTTGACTCCTTCCCAGGATCCGGCTTTTCATCCTGCCGTCTCTTGACTGTCGGGGGCGCGCAAACATGGATTAGCGATCCATGGATTTGGCGCGCGGTCGCCAAATCCATGGATCGGGGGAGGTGCCCTCCCCAAAATGCGGCCGCTGCCGCCTCGCTCGACGGCGGAAATCCGCGATTTCCAATGGAAACGGGACCCGTCGCTAATCCACGCCCCCTTGATCCATGTTTGCGATCGCCTGAGACTGTCCCGGGGCTGGAGGCCGAAGGCGCAGAAAAACCAACGCCTGGATCTGAAGGCCCCCCCCTCCCTGAAGGGCAAGGGTACAGTCGGACCTAGGCCAGCAGAATACACCTCAGGAACCTGAGACCCCCCGCTGGCCAAAGCACACAGAGCATCCGAGGGCACCCTCCCCCAAGAGGAAGAACATCCGAGGGCACCCTCCCCGAACGGACCTCAATCTCTGAATGACCTCGCTCCGAGGCGCTGCATCGCACACAGATCGGCGATGGCTCCTGGGCGGGGTGGGGCCATCGGGCCCCCGGCAGTTGGGCCGGGCATGTCCCCCTTACAGAAGGCCCGAGGCCTTGCGAGCCTACTGACGAGGCCCGCCCCTTCGCACTTCCTCCCAGGCTCGCGGCCGAACAGAGCTTTCGTCCGGCCGGCCGGCCGGCTGGCCCCGAGTCCTCGCCCCCCGCCCGCGGGTGGAGCGACGGCTTCAGCCACGCCGTGGCCCTGCGCAGGGCTCGCTCCTGCCCCCGCGTTCGCCGGGTCCGCTCTGAAGCATCGGGGGGCCACGCGAGTGCTCTCGCTCAGCCCTGTGCTTATCGTCCGATCGGCCTCCGGGGAGTGTGCAATCAGAAGCATCCGGCTCCAGAGCGGGACACTGCTCCAGGAAAAATGGGCCAGGGGGAGGAGGAGGAGGAGGAGGAGGAGGAGGAGGAGGAGGAGGAGGATGAGGAGGAGGAGGAGGAGGAGGAGGAGGAGGAGGAGGACGGACGACGGAGGAGGAGGAGAACGGAGGAAGAAGAGGATGAGAAGGAGGAGAAGCGGGACCGGTGCGGATTGCAGGGAACAAGTGGCACGCGTGCCCTGGCTCTTGCGTCAAGGGGCTGCGAGGGACAAAAGTCTTTCGCCTCCTTCCTCCAGGAGTTTCCTTCCGTGGCCAGGTGGGGAGGACGAACGACGAACGACGAACGAACGACGAACGAAAAGAAAGGAAGTCCGGGCTCTAGAACACAGCTGTCCAAAACAATAAACAGGTCCGAGCTCTAGAACACAGCGGGCAAGGCCAGGGGGGCAAGGGTAGAGGACGAACGAGTGGGCCAGAGAGGCTAGGGGGGGAGAGCGAGGGGGGAGGGCTGGGTCCAGGGCCAGGCCAGGGGGCCAGGGGGCCAGGGAGGCCAGGGGGGGGCAGGGAGGCCAGGGGGGGGGGCGAAGGGGGCTGGGTCCAGGGCAAAGGCAGGAGGGTGGGCTGGGTCCAGGGCAAGGCCAGGGAGGCCAGGGGGGAGGACGGACGAACGACGAACGAACGAACGACGACGACGACGACGACGACGACGACGACGAACGACGAACGAGCGACGACGACGACGACGAAAATAAGGAGGCCGGGGGGAGGGGAGGACGACGGACGGGAGGCCAGGGGGGGAGAGCGAGGGGGCCTGGGTCCAGGGGGGAGTGGGTTAGGGAGGCCGGGAGGGGAGAGCGAGGGGAGCTGGGGAGGGCTCGGTCCAAGGCAAGGCCAGGACGGCAAGGGAGGGAGAACGAACGCCGAAAGAACGAACGACGACGAACACAAGTGGCACGCGTGCCCTGGCTCTTGCACCAAGAAGTTGCGAGGGACAGGAGGCTTTCGCCTCCTTCCTCCAGGAGTTTCCTTCTGTGGCCAGGGGTGGGAGAACGAACGCCGAACGAACGAACGACGACGAATGAAAATAAGGAGGGCCGAGCTCTAGAACACAGCTGTCCAAGATAACAAGGAGGCCGGTGAGAGGGGGGGGGAGGACGAGGGAGGCCAGGGGGGGAGAGCGAGGGGGGCTGGGTCCAGGGAGTAGGTTACAGGAGGGGGAGAGCGAGGGGAGCTGGGGAGGGCTGGGTCCAGGGCAAGGCCAGGACGGCCAGAGGGGAGGACGAACGACGAACGAACGACGACGACGAAAATAAGGAGGCCGGGGGGCGGGGGGGAGGACGACGGACGGGAGGTCAGTGGGGGGAGAGCGAGGGGGGCTGGGTCCAGGGAGTAGGTTATGGAGACCAGGGGGGGAGAGCGAGGGGAGCTGGGGAGGGCTGGGTCCAGGGCAAGGCCAGGACGGCCAGGGGGGCATGACGAACGACGACGAACGAACGAACTACGACGACGACGAGAATAAGGAGACCCAAGGGGCTGGGGAGAGGAGGACGACGAACGGGAGGCCAGGGGGGGGGGGAGAGCGAGAGGGGCTGGGTCCAGGGAGTGGGTTAGGGAGGCCAGGGGGGGAGGGCGAAGGGGAGCTGGGGAGGGCTGGGTCCAGGGCAAGGCCAGGACGGCCACAGGGGAGGACGAACGACGAACGAACGACGACGACGACGACGAAAATAAGGAGGCCGGGGGGGCGGGGGGGAGGACGACGAACTGGAGGCCAGGGGGGAGAGCGAGAGTGGCCGGGTCCAAGGAGTGGGTCAGGGAGGCCCGGAGGGGAGAGCGAGGGGAGCTGGGGAGGGCTGGGTCCAGGGCAAGGCCAGGACAGGACGGCCAGGGGGGAGGACGAACGACGAACGTACGACGACGAACATAAATACGCCCGAGCTCTAGAACACAGCCGTGCAAGAGAGTCCGAGCTCTAGAACACAGGTGTGCACGAGAAGACACCTCTTCGGATGCCCTCGGCGAGTGAGGCAGTGGTCCATATGTACGCTTCCCCGGGAGGCCTCGGCTGACCGATTCGGGGGGGGTCGGGCGGATGGGCGGACCAGAGGGGCTCCAAGACAGGCCAGGAGGGCCCCAAGACGGCTCGCCGCCGGTGGCCGCCTCGTGCGCTGGGTTGGTCCGGCGAGGTTTCGCAACGTGGCCGCCCGTGGCCGCCGCCGTGGCCGCCTCGTGCGTTAGGCAGGTCTGGCGAGGTTTCGTAACGTGGCCGCCGCGTGGCTGCCTGATGCGCTGGGTGGGTCTGGCGAGGCATCGCCACGTTGCCGCCTTGTGGCCGCCTTGTGTGCTGGATGGGTCTAGCAGGTTTCGCCACGTTGCCGTCCGTGGCCGCCTCGTAACCGCCTTGTCCCCTGGGTGGGTACGAGTAAGTTTCGCCACGTGGCCGCCTCGTGGCCGCCTCGTGTGCTTGGTGGGTCGGCGAGTCACCACGTTGCCGCCCGTGGCTGCCTCGTGGCCGCCTCTAGATTGCACCGAGTACACTGCACCACATGTCTTACACCACATAGCGTGCACCACATATCTTGCACATCCACAGAGCAATGACTACTGTTTTTGGTCCACACCTACTAACATGTTTAAATTCAGTGTTTGACAGATCCTTACTTCTTGCCTCCGTAGCGTCCAAGACCCGTCCACGACGGCCCAGGAGCGCTCAAAAGGTCCCCAGGACGTGCATAGACGCGGGCATCACACGACAGTCGGGGAGAAACTACGACCGCCTAGCAAATTTCCCAGTGCACACGAGCACCCAGGCAAACGCCTCCATCCAATGGTACAATATGGGCTGACGGAGTGCACCGAGTGCAAAGGCACAAGATCGAAAGAGAGAATATGGAATAACATCGGAGACCATGAACATATGGCGAAACTCATTCATATACATATACACACATCTAAATAGGGATGAGCATTCACAAACATATATGCGCGCACTTTACACAACACACTATCATGTAAACATATAGTTGTGTAAAGTTATGCGCAACCGAGCTGGGACATCATCGTGCCAAGGGGAGGATGGAAGGGACGAGGCAGGGAATGGGAAAAAAGGGCGGGATGGCTTGCACTGATTCGCGCGAGCAACCCTCCCTCCTCATCCGCCTCCTCGGCCGCTCCCGGAGCGTGCTCCGACCAGCAATCCGAGGCGGATCAAGCCGTGCCGACAGCCCCGCAGGAGGCCCCGCAGAAACGGGCCCGTCGAAATGCCACGGGGAGGAAGGAGAGGAGGGCGCGCGGAGGAGGAGGAGGAGGAGGAGGAGGAGGAGGAGGATGAGGAGGAGGAGAAGCAGGAGGAGAAGCAGGAGGAGACGCAGCGGGACGACAAACCCCATTACTCCTCCTCCTCCTCCTCCTCCTCCTCCTCCTCCTCCTCCTCTCCTCCCCCTCCTCCTCTCCTCCTCCTCCTCCTCCTCCTCCTCCTCCTCCTCCTCCTCCTCCTCCTCCTCCTCCTCGCTCCTCCTCCTCCTCCTCCTCCTCCTCCTCCTCCTCCTCCTCCTCCTCCTCCTCCTCCCCCTCCTCCCCCCTCCTCCTCCTCCCTCCTCCTCCTCCTCCTCCTCCTCCTCCTCCTCCCTCCTCCTCCTCCTCCTCCTCCTCCTCCTCCTCCTCCCTCCTCCTCCTCCTCCTCCGTCTCCTCCTCCTCCTCCTCCTCCTCCCTTCCTCCTCCTCCTCCTCCTCCTCCTCCTCCTCCTCCCTCCTCCTCGCCTCCTCCTCCTCCTCCTCCTCCTCCTCCTCCTCCTCCTCCTCCTCCTCCTCCTCCTCCTCCTCCTCCTCCCCTCCTCCTCCCCCTCCCCTCCTCCTCCTCCTCCTCCTCCTCCTCCTCCTCCTCCTCCTCCTCCTCCTCCTCCTCCTCCTCCTCCTCCTCCTCCTCCCCCCCCTCCCCCTCCTCCCCCTCCTCCTCCCCCTCCTCCCCCTCCCCCTTCTCCAGCAGGAACTCCGGTACTGTCCCGCCCCACTCACGCGGTGCTCGCTGCCTCCAATGCCCAGCTGGCTCATGCTGTGCCTGCGCTCTGCGGACGAAGCAGGGGCCTCGATGTTGAGACCAGCGGCGAGCACCGCAGCATCGCACGGAGGCCAACATTGAGGCCGAGGGCGGCCCAGCACCCAGCGCGGAAGACGCTTGCTGCCCAAACCTCTGGAACGACACCGTGTGCAGGGTTGACCTCCATGGCTTTCGGAAGCTTCTCGGCAGGCGCGTTGAAAGCGCAAGCCTGGCCTGCAACCGCGCGCGGAACAACATGCGACATTCGCCCGGGGCCGCCCGGCGCCGGACCCCGTCAGCAGACAGTGCAGCGCAGGAGCGAAGGCGACCTGATGTTCGGCCAGAATCCTGCAGGCGCCCGCACAGAGCGCAACATTCCTCAGACTGGCCGAACCACGCGAAACAATACACGATCGCATCTCCAGCGCAAGAGCGCGAGGCCTCTGCGCAGCACGGTTCACACCCCAGGCTGAGACCCGCCCCGGAACAAGCCAGAGCGCGCGGTGCCAGCGCAGATTGCCGCAGAAGCTGGGACAGGAACCGGGTCTTCAGCTGCAGCCGCCTTGCCTCGCCGCTCGTCTCGCAGCGGTTCGCTGCAAGTCGTATGCCCTGCATGATCTTCATGGCGCTGCTCAGGCCTTTACCCGCACTGTCCTCCCTGCAACGGTTGTCGGCTTTGCCATCCCCGTGCGCGCCGCCAACGGGCAGCCGCGCAGCAGGATGCCTACCCTGCCTTCGGTGCTCACGTCTGGCCTGCCGCTCCCTGGCGGGTCGAGCGCACTCCGGGACGACATCTGCCCGTGAAGGGATCGAGTGTGGCGAAGGAGGACTCTCGCGTGAGAGTCTGCGGAGACGCGAGTCCAAAATCGCTGCGGTCGCACACTTTGATGGCCCGACCCAAGGACTGCTGGACGCGCCGCGGTGCCGAAATTGCTCCAGGTGGGACCCAGACCCGTGCTCATATACCGTGGAGACGCGGCCGCAAGAAACCCTCGCCCTGAAAATCAGCGAAGGTTCTTGCCCAGGGTCTGGGTTTCTTAGCCTGGGGCCCCCAAAGAGATCGAAGATTGCGAAGGAGGACCATCGCGTGAGAGTCTGCGAAAACGCGAGTCCAAAATCGCTGCGGTCGAGCACGTTGATGGCCCGACCCAGGGAGCTGGACGCGCCGTGGTGCCGAACTTGCTCCGGTTGCGACCCCCAGACCGGTGCTCGTGTGCTTGATGCGAGCGCTTGCGCCCTGACAGTGGCGGCGGATGGCAACCCCTTGAAGGGGCCCTGGGACACATAAATCAATAGACACAAATGATAGGCCTCCCCATGTTTTCCCGTGTTTTTGGGATTTGCGTCTTCCCGCCCACTTCCCACATTTTCGTATATATTTTCCTGGGGATCGACGATTCATTTTGCCTGTGTGTTTTTTCCCTCCTGACCCCTTGCTCCGCTGCGGAGGTCTAACGTGCGATGCCACATCCGGACCACATGGAAGGCTTGCGGTATCATGACCCACGGATCCCGCCCTCCCAGGAGTGGCGAGTTCACCATCAATGAACGCCTCGGCCTTGGGGATTTCAAGGTGGAGGCCCGCATGCAGACCATGAGTAGGGTCAGAAAGCGGACCTTACCTATTAGCAATAGGATCAGTCGAAATTTCCACATCGGGGTCTTCCAGCTGCGGACAGGCAATCGGACCTTGTAGCTCGTTGTATGGCCCTCGAAGCGTAGCAGGTTGACCATCAAACTCGAAGCGCGGATCTTCTAAATCAACAGGCAGACCTGGTCTATCAGCACGTGGGCCGTGTAGATCAGCATGCAGACCACGTAGTTCGCCAGACCGATCTCTCAGCTCAGCATGTGAACTGCAGATCAGCATGTGGGCCTAGTATCTCGGCAGATGGATCTGGTTGTGCACCAAGCGGGCCCCAGCACCCGCCAGAATACCCATGCAGTTCATCAGGCTGACTTGGTCGATCACCCAGCGGGTTGACGCCTGGATCACATACCCCTTCACTGGCCCCGCCTTGAGTCTCGAAACATCTCTGAGCACAACGTAAGATCAGGGCCATTATGGATCCCTTGCATGACGGAGTGGAATTCTGGAGCCTCACATCGCAGCGATGACGAGGACCATGCTGCGTGCCGCCACTGTGGGGGCCTAGTAGCGTTGGCTTTGACCATGATGCCGCAGATCACACCGAAGACTGAGGCAGGGCACGCGCCGCGGCCCTGGGCCCACTTAACGGAGGCCCGCACCGTGCGATGATGTGGCACTCGACGCAGACCTTCCAACGTATGTTGCAGCCAAAGTCCACGCCCGATAACGCGACGTCTACCTGCGGCAGGGGCAGCTTCAAAGGCGGCGTGGCCAGACCCGGCTGCTGATCGCTACGACGAAGGACGGCTTGGCACACGGTCCCAGCTGCAACAGACGACTGAACCGAGGGCCAGAGCATTCGGAAAGCCCTCAGTGCACGGCTGAGCGGCAGCGCAAGTTGGCAATGCCAGAATCGTGTCACGCAGCCCAGTTCCACGCGACATCTGACGTAATGACAAGGCCCCGAGAACAAGTTGAGCAGGAGAAGCAGGAGCGGAAAAAACGGACGAATGGATAGTGGGGCCGCCGGTATGACTTGAGACAGAATCGCCTCGGAGGAGGAGGAGCAGCAGCAGGAGCAGGAGGAGTGGCAGGAAAAGTAAGAGGCGGAGGCACAGCAGGTGCTCCCCTCCCCCTCCCCCCCCCTCCTCCTCCTCCTGCTCCTCCTCCTCCTCCTGCTCCTCCTCCTCCTCCTCCTCCTCCTCCTCCTCCTCCTCCCCGTCCTCCTCTCCCCTCGCTCCCCGGCCTGCCCTGGCGGGGGCCGACCCCCTCCCCCTCCCACGCCCGCGTCGAAGACGGATCCCCCTGTGGTGACGAGGGCCCCTCCAGGCCTCTAGGAGGCACCCCCTCTGGAAAGCAAGAGCAGCAAAAGGCAAGCGGGTCAGATCCCTCGGTGGCAACTCGTGGGAGCCTCCCGTACCATCTCTTGTCGGCTTTGCGAATCGACGTTAGTCGACGCTAAATCGATGCTAATCGGCGCTAAATCGACGCCAAGCGGCGCTAGCCGACGCTAAACCGGCGCTGCCTCATCGACTCCCAGACGCTCATCGACGCTGAGACGGAATCAAGAGGGCATACCAGGCTCCCATGATTTGCCGCCAAACTTTCTGGAAAAGTCAAGCGGCAGAAGCCAAGCGGATCACATCCCATCCTGGCCTCAGGTCGGGCGTGCCCTCCTACAGGCGGATTCTGGACGAAAAAGGAAACCAGGTGCACAACTAATCAAAACAAACAAACAAAAAACAAAAAGACGGAAACAAAAACCATCCCCACAGTACTGCTGTGACTACTTTGGAGCCTTCCTCCTGTGGAGGCACACGCCCGATTCCACCCTGGGCCTCCGCCGCCCCCGCCGGGCCGAGAGAGCAGCGCCGGCGAGCGGCGCGTTTTGTGCACACCCCACGGGCGCGCACCACCACCCCGCGGGGCGCCCCCGCGACGCCTGGCCTCCCGCGGGGCGGCTGGCCTGGCGCCCCGCCAGGCCGTGGCTTGGCGGCGCGCACCAGGGGGGTGGAGGGGGAGGGGCGGGGGGGGCTTCTCTGGGAGGAGGCGACCTTCTGCGGAAGCGCTGGCCCTGCATCCAGGAGCACTATAGGCTGCCGCGCAGAGCGTCAGGCTGCCGCGGGAGCATCAGGCGGGGAGCATGAGGCTGCCGCGTGCACCGCACACGTCTGTTCTCCCTGTCCTGGCCGCTCGTGGCAGAATCCTTCTTGGCGGCGCGCACCCGGGGGGGAGGGAGGGGGGGGGCTTCTTAGAAGGAGGCGACCTTCCTGGGATAAGATAAGGCCCGCGCCTTCTGAGAAGCAGAGGTAATTACTTCTAAGATTCTAAGAAGCTCTCCCCCCCCCCGCCCCCCCCCCCTTCTGCGCGTGGCTGGGTGGTGCTGGGAGGCGGGTCCCCAGAGATCCAACGCAGTGAACAAATCAAGACGGACACTGTTCGGGATCTTCGGCCTCCAGGGGCCCTCGCCGAGCCCCGGGGCCGTCCAAAAACGATTCGGGAGGAAAACTGGGTCCTGGGGAATCGGTCGAGACTTCCGGGGGCCCCGCACTGAGAAAATCACGACGTCGGATCTCTGGGTCTGACACCGACCCAGAAGGAATCCGCGCGGACCCCCAGGAACTATTGCCACTGCTCTCTCTCTCTCTCTCTCTCTCTGGAACTCTCGGGGCAGTGGATCTCCTGGCGGGCGATCTCGGCAATCTCTCCCGTGGGCCGGTGGGGGCCGCCTCCGGCCTCGCCTACAAGAGTGCGGCCACATGCCGCAGCATGATGACGACAGTGACTTTTTTACCCACCCGGCCCACCAGAAATCCACGCCTACCTCCAGAAGCTCATGCCGATGCCACTGCTTCTTCCTCGACCCCTGCTGCCCGGCCTCTGCTCCGCAGGCGCCAGCGGGCAGCGATCCTCCTCGCCCCTCGCCCCCCCCCCCAGAGGCGCTCCGAGCTCGGCCGTCCCGAGGCGCAGCATGCAACCCCCGCAGCGTGCTGTCGCCGAGCTCGACACGGAGATGGAACACGTGCGCTGGGCCCGATGCGCCCGCCCAGACGCGGGCCACCACACGTGGAGCCACCACGCAGCGTCTCGAACACGGTACGCGTGGCGCTGCAAGACGGGCGCCTCAGGGCAGTCATGAATCATGATGGGCAACTGTTCCCCCACCGCTGCGATGTGGAGGACGGGGGAAAAGGGAGGATGAGTAGGTCCTCCTCCTCCTCCTCCTCCTCCTCCTCCTCCTCCTCCTCCTCCTCCTCCTCCTCCTCCTCTCCTACATATGGCAGTGGTGATGGAAAATGGGCCCATCGAGCCAAGGTCCAAAGACCTCGAAGGGCCCTCGAGGGCCTCCATGGGCCGCCGAGGGCCTCCGAGGGCGCCCGAAGGCCCCCAGCGGCCCGGGGAGGCTCCCGGTCGAAGGCCCCTGCCCGCCCCCCCCCCGCGCTCCGAGGCGTAGTCAACGAGCCAGCAGGGCACCCAGCCCGCGGCGCGGAGGTCGTCGACCTCCCTCCGGGGGCCCCGCCTCCGCGTCCTCTCTTCCTCCTCCTCCTCTCCTCCCCTGCCTCCTCCTCCTCCTCCTCCGCTCCCTCCTCCTCCCCCTCCTCCTCCTCCGCCTCCCCCTCACCCCTCCTCCTCCTCCTCCTACTCCTCTTCCTCCTCCTCCTCCTCCTCCTCCTCCTCCCCCTCCTCCTCCTCCTCCTCCTCCTCCATCCTCCTCCTCTCTTCCTCCTCCTCCTCCTCCTCTCCTCCTCCTCCGCCTCCTCCTCTTCTCCTCCTCTTCTCCTCCTCCTCCTCCTCCCTCCTCCCCATCCAGCTCCCTCTTCCTCCTCCTCCTCCCTGCCTCTCTCCTCCTCCTCTGCCTCCTCCTACTCCTCCTCTCCTCTCCTCCTCCTCCCTCTCCCCTCCTCCTCCTCCGCCTCCTCCTCCTCCCTCACTACTACCTCCTCCTCCCCGCAAGCGAAGAGTGGGGGGGCGAATGGGGAGGAAAGCGGGGAAGGGAGAGCAGAGCGGAGAGGGAGGGGGGGTGGGGGGAGAGAGGGATGGAAGGGGGGCAGGGAGAGAGGGAGGGAAGGGGGCAGGGACAGGGAGGGGAGGGAGGGAAGGAGGGATGGGGGGAGGAGGAGGGAGAGGGGTGGAGAGGGAGGAGGATGGAGAGCGAGGAGGAGGAGGAGGAGGAGGAGGAGGAGGAGGAGGAGGAGGAGGAGGAGGAGGATGGAGAGCGAGGAGGAGGAGGAGGAGGAGGAAGAGAAAGAGGAGACCAACGATGACCCCGCGATTTTCGCAAGAAGATCATCGTCGCCATCTGCCAGACCGGCCACAGGGGCCTGGCGCCATCCCTGCCCAACATACACTTTGGCAAACCGCTACTGGAAACAGCATAAATGGTCCGCGATATCGCGGGGGACATGAAAAAAGGGACCATCAACACGGGGGCGATCATGGAAAAATGGTTGGACATCCAAGACGGTGCCGACAAGATGCGCAAGGCGGACCACAACCCGGAATCCAGCAGTGACGCTGCACCATATCAGACCAACGCGCCCTGGGCGGTTTGCAGGAAATGCGGGGCGAGGAAGCGCCATGTGGACAACCCACTGAACGGCAAGTGCAAGAAGTGCAAATCTACCGACATCATCAAGCGCGGCACCATCGAGTGGAACGACGTTTACGACCAGGTATCTCCATGCACCAATGAAGTCCTCACCGCCGACGAGCAGCCCTGAATTGCTGGACCGACGGGAATGCCTACAGTGCGGGCGCGGCCGCAAGAAACCCTCGCAAGAAGCCCAGCCCTGAAAACCCGCGCGCGCACCTGAGGGGAAACCCGAAGCACCCTGAACGCAGCAGCTTCTTCAACGGCCGCGGGGAGTCACCGCGCAGATCGCGGAGCGAAGAAACCCATGATGCCCTGAGGAAAAGCGCATGGTTTCTTGATGCGCGCCCCCACTGTATGAGACAGGGGACGAACGCATTAATACCTAAAGCGCTTCAAACACGAGAGGCTCTCAAACCAATGGTAGCGCCAGCACCAACGGCGCCACCAGTGAAGCCGCCACCTGACACGCAGCCACCAATGGCCGTGTCCAAGTCCTCATGGCACAAGGCGCCCCCGATCGAGATACCCAAGAAGAGATCGGCACCCTCAGCACAGGAGTTCGCTAACCACCACTGAGCATGACCAGCTACGATACTCACCCTGCGACCCTAGCGCCACCTGGCATACGAACACCATCGCTTCAGCTTATTAAAGCAACCGCCACCAACGCGCGTTGAGGTCAGCGCGGGGCACTCGCTGCAATGTGGCCCTACTGATCACCTGGCAGACCCTCCCAAGCCACCACAGAGGAGAAAGAGCACTGGCGACGCTAACTACGGACGGGCACCACGACAAACACCACGACTACGGCATTCACATTGAACCAGCTCCGAGCACAGCAAGGAGCAGGTACCCCACATGGGTGACACCGACGCCCACCAACCAGCTACGCACAGCCAAGCAACCGATGCGGTCCAAGAAAGATACCTCCCTGTCACGCTCTTCTTCTGAACGGCCCTCGACCACCCAGACGGCGACATCGACCAGGTGCGCAAAGCCTACAAGGACTGGGTCCCAGATATCAAATGTTAGCCAACGTGGGCCCCCAACGGTGTGTTTCTAGTGATTGTGTTGTGCAGTCCAAGTGGAGCAATATATGCGGTGCAATTGACGTGATGCAACCTATGTTATGCAATGTACGTCGTGCAATACATGTTGAGTAACAGATGTGTTGGCAAACCTTTTTTGTGGAGCATACTATGTGATACGATATGTTTGGTGCAACCTATGTGGTCCAATTCACGTTGTACAATCTACGTTGTCCAACATATGCGGTGCAATCTTGATGGAGCAGCGTACGTGATACACTATGTGTCGTGCCCTGTATGCGATGCAGTCGATGTTGCACAACCGATGTTGTTCATTACACGCGTGTACTCTACGTGGTGAAATGTACCCGGCCGAACTTGAATTTGTCAAACCCACTGACTGCTCGCGCAATCATGCCGCCCACCGACCCGCAACTTGCAGGCGTCTTCGATAATGCCACTGGCTCGCCGCAGGCGTCTTCGATAATGCCAACAACGCCGGCACAACCCAACAGTTGATAATTTGCGAACGGTCCTGCCACTTTGATGTGTGACTTCCCACGCTGAACCAATGTGTCCTAGGATACGCTTGCCCAAGCGCGGATTCGGGACGGCCTCCGCATTCACAATTCTGAGAAAACCTATTTTGGTGCGTGAGTTGCGCTGCAGAATCAACGTGGCGTCCCCTGTGCATGGGAAGACGCGCTGGATGGTCAGGGTATCGACAAGGCGCTGCCTTCGTAGCTCGTGCGTGAATGCGGAACGAACACGGGCGCTGCATGATGAACCGGTCCTGCAATTGCCGCGTCGCCGTTTTAGCGTGCAACCTTCCCTGCGTTGCGATCACGCAAACTATAGCAGCACATGGTTTTGCCCGTGCGTTCCAATATCCGCAGGGCTTGTTGGATCAGGTGAAACACATAGCTATATATGTATACACACATACATACATATTCGCAGCACCAGGGCGAGAGCAACATTCTGATGTTTGGCACGCCGCGTCGCTTCCCATGGAGCGGATGGCCCAAAAAAATGCCATGAACCGCCAGCGCCTGATCAAAAACTGCCCGGAACTATCTGCGTGGCCGTCAAGCGCGGGCGGCGTGTTCGTCTCGTCGCGCGCGACGTGCGCCGCGCCCCGTTCTGCCACGCGCGTGGCAGTGCCGACGAAAGCACACTTATATGCTCAACAGAAAGGCTGTTGACCTCGGGGTGAATACTCGAGGCGGACGGCAGTGAAGGAACCCAGGGACACACAAACAAATACACACAAATCCACACATACTTTTGGATTTTCGTCTTCCCCCGCACTTCCCATATTTTCGCATACTTTCCTGGGAATCGACGATTCATTGTGTCTGTGTGTTTTTTCCCTCCCGAGACAAGGGCGGATAGCCCAAAGGGCGGGCGTCACACGCGTGCGCCGGGGAGCCCCGTCGACGACATGTGCGATCGGAGGCTCTGGATACACGTATTTTCAGAGGCCTCCCAGATTGGGTCCGAGTAAATCGGGGGTGCGCAAACATGGATTAGCGATCCATGGATCTGGCGCGTGGTCACACAATCCATGGATCTAGGGAGGTGCCCTCCCCAAAATGCGGCCAGTGATGCCTCGTTCGGCGGCGGAAGTCCGCGATTGCTCATGAAAACGGGACCCGTCGCTAATCCACGCCCCCTTAATCCATGTTTGCGATCGCCTGAGTAGATGGGGTCGGAGGATCGCGCCGCATCGCCGATGCATCGGCGATGCATCCGGGACGTCGGCGATGCATCGCCGACGTCGGCGTGGAGAAGCTCGGGCTCCACATCGAGCCGCATCGCCGATGCATCGGCGATGCAGCGCGGTCCTCCGACCCCACCTACTCGGACCCCATCTGGGAGGCCTAGAGTATTGTTGCCCCGTGGGCTATTCGCCCCCGCCGTCGCCTCCGAAGCACGAGAGGAGCCACGCCATCCAAGAAGCGGCCCGGCCGAGCCGGCAAGAGACCCACACCGCGGGCCAGCACAGGCCGACGGGGCCAGCTTCGGGCACCCCGGGAACAACCCTGGAAGGCCCTTGGGGGACTTGTGGGTCTTCGGGGGAGCTCGTTTTTGGGCTGTTTTGCGACGCGCGCGCTGAGCGGTCGTGGCGCCGCGCGGCAGCGCCCAACGCCTCGGAAGGCGGTGCCCGGCTCAGGCGACTGCACCTGCCGCACACGGGGGTGCAGGACAGCTCCGGGGGGCCACCGCACGCTGGCCCCAGGCCCTCCGGCTCTCTTCCCCCTCGAGGGGGGGCGCCTTCTGCTCCCGCCAGCCTTCTGCCGGCCCTCCGGCGGCCTGCTGCCAGCCTTCGCTGCTTGCTCTGCTTCCGACGGCCTCCGCCGCCCTTTCGCCGGCCTCCGCCCAAGGCGAGGCGAGACGTCGACTGCGCGAGGGAGGGGGGCCAGAAAGGTGGGGGGGGGTTAGGGCGTCGATGGCCCGACGCCCTGGGGGCATGTGCGCGAACGAGGGGCCAGGGAACGCATTCAAAGAATAGGGGCCGGCACATCTGGGAGAAACCAGATCATAACGCTGGAACTCCGCCATTCTGCGAGCCGGGCCACGGCCCAGGCACCGACGACCTCCCGTTCTCAAATCGGCAAATGCTTGTCGCGCTGATCGTCTGCATCTTCAGCGGCAGCCGCCGATCGTGCCCAACCAGGAACTCACAACCTCTGAACGGCGGAAATACAGCGCTCTGGAGAAAGTTCGCGCCAACTGCTTTCATCCGCGGCATCCTGGCCGCGGCCGTGATATCCACGCGCCCCTGGTCCCTCGGCCCCCCTCCTGGACGCCCCAACGGGAGGGCAAGTCAGAGGCCTCCTGGATGGGGTCCGAGCAGATGGGGTCAGAGGACAGCGCCGCATCGCCGATGCATCGGCGACGTCGGCGCGGGGAAACGCGGGCTCCACATCGAGCCGCATCGGCGATGCATCGGCGATGCGGCGCCCCCACCCTGGACTCGGACCCCATCTGGGAGGCCCGGGCCGCCTGCCTCCCTGTGGATCGCCCCCTCGGCCGGGCCGGGCCGCCAGCCCCGCCCGCAGCCTTCAGCCACACGCGGCTGAAGCCGGGGCGGCCGTCCGGTTCCTGGGGCGAAGCGGGGATGCGGGGCGGGGGCGTCCTCGTCGTCGTCCTCGTCGTCGTCGTCGTCGTCGTCGTCGTCGTCGTCGTCGTTGTCGTCGTCGTTGTCGTCGCCGCCGCCGCCGCCGGCCGTCGTCCCACTGGCTCTGGCACTGGGGGCAGGCGGCGGCGGGGGGGAAGCCCAATGAGAGATTGCTGCCCTGCCAAGCAGGGCGAGCAAGGAGCAGAAGAAGGGAGGAGGACAGGGAGGAGGACAGGGAGGAGGAGGAAGAGGAGGAGGAGGAGGAGGAGCAGGAGGGAGGAGGAGGAGGAACCCAGCGTACCTTCGACTCTCGCCCTCTTCGCCTTCTGTCGCACCCTCTCTGGAAGCAGCCCTTTGCCTTGCGGAGTCGGGTGACCTTTGACAGGCGAGCAGGCGGTTGGACACAAACGGGCGTTCAGGCCGCTTCACGTAGGCACTGCATGAGTCGGCCGGTCTGGTCCGGCCGGGCCCTTCCGCGGGCTGTCGGGTCGGGAGGTCCCCAGCGG